ACTGACCTCCCAGCACAGAGCCAAGACCAGCTGTCCCTTGCTCCAACCCCAGCACCTGGGTGTAGCCGCCAAACCAAAGGAACAAACACAATAAGAAAACTGGGATGGGGGCGATAATACAATGGGTAGGGTGTTTGCCTTGTACGCGGCCAATCCAGGTTTGATTCCCAGCATCCCATACGGTCCCTTGAGTACCGCCAGGAGTAATTCCTGAGTGCAAAGCCAGGTGTGCATCGCCGGGTGTGACCCAAAAAGCAAAAATTAAAAAAAAAGGGAAAAAAGAAACCTGGGATGAATGACATTATCAGATGGGCCCGGGGAGAGGTAGGGATGTGGCTCAGGGGCAGAGAGTTTGGCTAACTTGCAGGAGATCTGGATTCCATCTCCAGCATCCACAAAGCAAAACAGAAGCAAATAAACTAAATGGCCAGCAGTAGCCCCGCTGCTCACTGCTCGGCTTCCATTGCATCCTCCTGTCCATCATGGAGATGCCTCTGGAAAGAGTCTCCGTCTTAAACAGCTTATATGGGGCTGGCGGAATGGTGCGAAGGAATTGTATGTGCACGCCTCACCCCTCAGAGCCACAAGTATCACATGGTCCTCCAATCACTGTTGGGGACGGGCGGGCGGCGGTTTGGTGGTGGTGGGGTGGGGGGGCTCTAAAAAATGAGACAGCTTGTATGCTATGAATCGTGTGTTAGCAATTCTACATTATGCTCCTGCATATTTTTTTTCAAGGAACATATGTATAATTATTTATTTATTTATTTTTTTATTAGTGAAAAACCATGAGGTACAGTTATAGGCTTACAAATTTTGTGCTTGGGTGCATATTTTTTACAGTGAAATTTTAGAGTGAAACACCCAGGAGCACTGTATTCCAAGGAAGCCATTTCAAAGTGAGAAATGGTCTAATCTCTTCTCTTTAGGCAAGGATATGTGGCTATTTCACAAATTTGTTTGTTTGTTTGTTTGTTTGTTCTGGGGCCATGGGCGGTGATGCTCAGGGCTTACTCCTGCCCTGTGCTCAGAAATCACTTCTGGCAGTTCCTGGGGGACCTATGGGCTGCTGGGGATCGAACCTGGGTGGGTTGCACGCCAGGTAAGCGCCCCTCTTGCTGTACTATCATTCCAACCCCTTATTTCACAGTTAAAAAAAATTTGCATTGTTAAGTATAAGAACCTGATTTTTTGGTGCGGGGTTGGGGTGGAGGGGAAGCGGTTGAGAGGGAAGAAGATGATGATCCGAGGAAAGCACAGACACAGACCGAGACAAAGGAGAAAGAGGCTCAGCTCACTCCTTAGGATTTCTCTTGCTCCCTTTCTTTTCACTCTCTGTATTCTCACAGCCTGCCCCAGGCTCCCCTCCCCCAGAAGAGCCGCTGTCTTTGATTTGACAATGTGACACATATTCAGCCAGAATGCACATTATCATTCACTCAGAGAAAGCAAAAATGAGTACATGTGCTTTTAAGAAGGTACAGCAATGAGCTTATATAGCAAAAGTGTATAAACAAGTATATTACCTATTTAATTGCCTTAGCTGAACTTAAAAGCTCTGATCTTTAATTGCCTGATTGAACTGATCTAAAAAGCTACAATTTTTTAATCAAGGAGAAAATTAAATAGCTTTCTGGTAAATAAGAAGGCATCTTTAATCTTATTTTTATGGAATCTAAGTTATTAAATATGGACAAAAACCTCTAAAATACCCAGTTAGCAACTCCTCCAGCTAGAGTAAATTCCTCATTATGATGCTTTCACAGATATCTCCGGGGACACGGGGACACGGGGCTCCGCCAGTTCTTCCCGGAAAAACACACTTTGAAATTCAGAAAGTGAAAGTTTCCATGAATAACTAGGAAACTCAAAAGCTAAATATATCCAGTGAGGGGTTTTACTGCAGCCTGTAATTTACATAGCTGAGCACTCCTAATTCTGGGGAAGCAACGGTTCGTCTGCATTATAATTCATTAGTCCTTCTTCTATCTAGACAGATGTGGATGCAGGGACACTCATGGGTACTTATTTAACGCTGAAATTCCTTCAGAGGGCAGACTGCCTCTCGGCCACTGACCCCACATGGTCCCTGCCGATTTCTTCTCCCCACAGTGGCATTCTCTGGAGAGTTAGTCCCTTGCAACTGAACTGACAGATTGAAAAAAGAATACAGGATAGTACAGTGGGGAGAGCCCTTGCCCTGCACACAGCCAGCCCAGGCTCAAACCCTGGCACCCCAGATGATCTCCCTAGCCCAACAGGAGTGATTCCTGTGTGAAGAGGAGCAACCCCTGAGCACTGCTGGGTGTGGCTCCTGAACCATAAATAAATAAATAAACTAGATTACAGGCTTGGGATTCCTTTTTGAATCTCTATACATCACTGATAAGAGGAAACCTTTCCTGGGGGCAGGCAGGGGTCTCCTTAAAAGTGCTCTTTCAGGGCCAATGATTCCACACAGCAGTGCTCAGGGAATGTGGCACCAGCGATTGAATTGGTCTCAGCTACAAGGACTGAGCCTTCATGCCTATATGAGATGAGATGTCTCTGCCCTAAAAGGCTCTTCCCTCCCTCCTCTCTTTCTCCCTCCCTCTTTTCCTTCCTTCCTCACACTCAGCAGTGCTGGGGATGAAATCCAGGGCCTCATATAAGCAAGGCAAGTGCTTCTACCACTAAGTCACATTCCTAGTTGTGATTTTTTTTTGTTTGTTTTGGGGGGGGCCACAGTCAGTGATGCTCAGGGTTTACTCCTGGCTCTGTACTCAGGGATCACTCCTGGTGGAGTTCAGGGGACTCTATGGGATGCCAGGGATTGAACCCAGGTCGGCTATGTGCAAAGCATGTGCAAGGCAACAGTGCCCTACCTGCTGTGTTATCTCTTCAAGTCCCTGATTTTTTTTTTAATTAAAAAAGAAAACCAAGGATGACAGCAAAAAACTAAACCATATTTTCCTATCTAACATCTTATTTAGTGTTATTAAGATTACTCAGAGTTCCAGCTGGGGAGAATTCACTAGCAATGGCCTGATCCTCAGGCTCACTTTAATAATATTTGCATTTCCATGGCAAGTTCCTTAATGAAGGTTTTTACTATGGAGAATTGATGTCTTCCTTAAGTGTCTTTGTCAAATGGACAGCAGATGTCCATAAAAATCAATAAAATGACAAGAATTGACCACTGTTTTCATTCTCATTTAAAAGGCTATAACCACTTTATGGGTTGGTGCATGTCAAGAAGTAGGAGTACAGGGAATAAAAATAAATTAAGTCACATTGTATTAAATACCATTTTCTCTTAATCGGCATGGTGAAAAATATTTATAAATAAGAAAAGTAGATTCTTTTTTTGGTTTGTTTTTTGGGACCATACCTGGATGTGCTTGGGGCTTGCTTAGGGATCACTCCTGATGGTGCTCAGGGGACCATATGGGAGGCCGGAGATCGAACCCGGGTCAGTCAGTGCAATACAAACGTCTACCCACCATATTATCACCCCAGCTTCTATTACCAGGGAAAGTAATACTAAGAACTCAATATCTATATATACCTATGATTTTTACCAACCATACCACAGACCTAGAAAGAAAAATCAGTCTTTATAGAAAAACTTGATTTATAATCCCATTTTATCAGCATAAATACCTACAAGAACAGAACTGATTCATGAAGAAATTGAAGATCACCAGGATAGTAAAACTACCACAACAAAAACGTTTCAATGACAGATGTGATAGCATAACTGAAGAGACGTTTCTTTCCCGTAGTTTATACTGTTAAATTTTTAAATCCCCTTTAATCACAACTGATATGTATGTTGCTGCATTTCCCAAATGTGCATCAAGCTAGGTAGAGCAGACATGTAAAATTAAACAGCACTGGTCAGTAAAATGATATTGAAGTTGCTGTGTTCAAGTCTATTTCTCACTGAATAATTTGTTCCAAATGAATTCAGACATTTGGGAACATTACATAAAGAGAGGTTTCTTTTGCAGCATTCAAACAATTAACTAGCATTCTCCTAAGTTCTCTGTTAATAGTCAAGGAGACTACTTTCTGATGCTTCCACCCTTTCCTTATTTAAAGTTTCACTTTCAAGATATTTGACAATCTCTTAAGGAACAGTGTGTGGTGACATCTGATATGCCAATAAAAGGTGGGGTGCAATTAAAAAGACTGACGATTTTGCATTTAACTAGACTTAAGTAAGAAAAATAAGATGTGCTGTCATTTTCAAACATTATGAAACACCTCTTTACATATTTGGTAAGCACGATTAATTAAAATATCAAGTATATAATCAAAATCCAAGCAGTTGAAGGAGAAGAAAATTTCAGTAGCTGTCTTTTTTGTTTTTACTACCAAAAACATCATCCTGGCTTAAACAGCACATCCACTATTCATATTCAAAATCAAGATCCACACATACTTGGTCAACACGTTTTGATAAAATCAAGAAGAAAGAAACCGTACCAATGATCCTCGGACCATGACACTTTGAAAATGGAAATAAATCATAATCATAAATGGGGGAAAATCAAACTTTTGGAAATAAAATTTTAAAAAGTCAGAAAAAATTAATTATGATTATATGGGAGAAAGAAAGAAAGAAAGAAAGATAGGGGGAGGGGGAGAGGGGGGACATAGCCCAAAGGGAAGAGAACTAGAATGGTCACAGAACTGAGCTTACAGGGATGGAGCATTAGGATAATTCATATACACATTAAAGTATCATTAATAGTACAGTAAATCACCATATCTCAATAAAAATGGAAAAAGATCAAAGTTCAGAGTCAGAGAGACAGATCAAAGGGTGGGTTCATTCCCTCAGACCACAAGGACCCTGAGTGCAGCAGAGTGACCCCTGGGGCAGAAAGCTGAGAGTAGCTCCTGAGCACTGCCAAATAGGGCCTAAAACACAAAACAACACACACACACACACACACACACACAAAGTACCTCTCACCCCAAATTAAGACAGAGCTTGAAAGTTTAGCACATACCTCTGTGTAAAATCTTTAAACTCCACAAATAGGTAAGGCCTTTAACAACCTGAATGCAAGGAAGAGAAAAGAGTTCAATGATGGCTTTATAGGAAAAGAGCTATACTTAAACTTATCATTCTATCAACCACGTTTCTCCCTTTAAAACTATCAATTAATAAGGGCTGCAGCAACAGTATAGTGGGGAGGACACTGGTCTTACACGTGGCTAACCTATATTCAATCCCCAGCACCCCATCTGGTCCCTGAGCCTGCCTGGAGTGATCCCTGGGTACAGAGCCAGGTGCCTGAGCACCGCCAATCAACAGCATACACTGAGTCACCCCGTTTCTGGGCCAGCAGAGTAGCAGTGCAAAACATCAAAGCTACAGGCTCCTTTCTCTGATAAGCACAAAATTTTCTGAAGAGACAACATGAGGAACTAAAGACACAGGTGTACGTGCATGTGAAATGATCTGGAAATACAAATACAAAAAGCAAAGCTTTTTAGCACAGACGTGGGCAGGAGCAGAGAGAAAAAGGGTTAATTTTTTTTTTCTTTTTTGGGTCACACCTGGCTATGCACAGGGATTACTCCTGGCTCTGCACTCAGGAATTACCCCTGGTGGTGCTCAGGTGAACATATGGGATGCTGGGAATTGAACCCGGGTATACCGTGTGCAAGGCAAATGTCCCACCCGCGGTGCTATCGCTCCAGCCCCAAGGGTTAAAAATTTTTTTACTTTTTGGTGGGGAGGGGAAGCCAGGATCTGTGAGACTGGCATTCTGGGGCTCAGACCAGCAATGCAATAATCCTGGTCAGTAACCACCTGGGTCATCCTGCCTGTTCTCCTGGCTATCTGGTACAAGCAGCAGAACTGAGCAGGCCTTGTAGTGGGAGAAACTCAAGGCTTTGCATGCAAGGCATGCATGCATGCCCATCATTTGTACGATCTCCACAGCCCTTCACCTGTCATGTTTGATGTCTATACTTCCATGTGTAGAATTCAGTCAGGACACTTATAAACAAAGAGAGAGATTTCTGGGTTGGGGCCAGACCTGGCAGTCCTCGGGCTACACAGAGTTCAGTGGTTGGTCACCATTGGCAGTGTGGGGGGACTCTGAGGGTTCCAGTACTGGGAGTGGGACCACTCCCTTACTCAGCCACTGAGCTGTCTTCCCGGTACCAGGGAGAGGCATATAAAAACATGAACTTATGAAACTGAGAGAGCTTTTCCAAGCAGTCAGGAGACTTTACCAAGCTCCCAGAGCGCTGAGAAACAGACTCAAGCCAAGAAAAAGAAGAAAGTGTGTAGGCAAGGATTTTTAAAAAATGAGTAAACAAAAGGAGAGAGAGAGAGAGAGCAAAAGGGAATGCCCTGCCACAGAGGTGGGGTGGGGGTGGTAGGAGGGATGGTGGTAGGAAATGGGCACTGGTGGAGGGATGGGTACTCGATCATTGTATGACTGAAATGCAAGCACAGAAGATTGTAAGTCTGTAACTGGACCTCACGGTGATTCACTAATAAAAATTTTTTTAAAAAATGAGTTAAGAAGTCAAGAAGGCAGAAACTCTTAAAACATGGAAACTGGAAAAGATACAAAAACTGATACACTGGTCTGAGTCTAAAAAAGCAAAACAAAACAAAATCCAAACACCTAAGCTAAATTCAGTGTCTAATCCTAGACTGGAAGTTGCATGAGAAGCCTGCAGGGGAGAATGGGGTCACGCTCAGCAGTTCTCAAGACTTACTTTTGGCGGTACTTGGGGGACCAGGGACTGAACCAGGGCTGGCTGCATGCAAGGCAAGCACCTTACGCCCTGAGTGTCTCTCTGGCCCCTGGATTAGTAATTTTGTCATTTATAAAAAAAAAAAATATCTTTCTTTTATAATATTGTTGGACAACTGGAAAAATACTGAATAAAGATGGCTTATTGTTGCATTATATGAGTAAAAACCAGTATATATGTAATTATATGATTGATAAACATATACTCTTGTATTGATGCTAATTTCCTGATTTGATGAGTATATAGTACTTAGGCAAGTAATTACTTTGTTCTTGGGAAATATACACATGAAGTATTGAGGAGGCACGAATGTTGCAACTTATCCTCAAAACATTTCAGGGAAAATGCATGCATATGTTTTTATTTTTATTTATTTTATTTTGCGTTTTTGGGGGTCACACCCAGCGATGCACAAGGTTACTCCTGGCTCTGCACTCAGGAATCACTCCTGGCAGTGCTTGGGGGACCATATGGGATGCTGGGAATCAAATCTGGGTCGGCCACGTGCAAGGGAAACGCCCTATCTGCTGTGCTATCACTCCAGCTCACGTGTATATGTTTTTAACCAAACGTGGTTAGCTTTTAATAATAATAAGGGGTCTGGATGAGACAGCGATGGAAATTCTTGCTTTTAGTCGAATAACTTTCAGGTAAAAAGCATTATTCCAAGAGGATCTTTTCTCCTCAAATGTTTCAAATCATAATGGGGTCTGAGAGACCCGTGATCAAGAGACTGGGGTAGGGAGTCAGACAATGCTGAGAACATGCTCATCATGCAGAAAGCTGGGTCCGATTCTGAGAATGGTCTCAGTACTGCTGAGCGCACCCCCTGAGCACCAGCAGGTGTGGCCTCCAATTCAAAAGAAAGAAGAAGGAATATCTGGTCCAATGGATTCATGAAAAAAAAAAAAAAAGACATTTCCGAGGTCCAAAAGACTCGAGTTCCAAGAGCTCTCTTTGATGTGGGAAATTTAAACAACGACTCATATAATAAACTAAACAATATTTAAATCAGAACAGTTGTAACAAAAATGCCATATTTTTATTCCTACCCATGACCCTGCACACATATGAATGGGAACTAGCAGTTTCAAATGAGAAATAACTGATTGATTTACACATCTTAAAAATGAAAGGGCCAGAGGTTGGACCAAGGTTAGATTCCTGCACCAAGGTGACTCTTGGTCATTTCTGGGTACAGCTGTGGAGGCCCCAACCACCACTGGGGGCGCCCAGTGGTACCCTACTCTGCAAGTACGTACAGGACCCCAGGGCTCTAGCATCAACCTCCCCAGCCTGTAGGCTCAATATTGCCTGGAGATACTCAGGCCCCCAAAGCACCTCAGGGGAGATGTACACCCCCCCAAAAAGAGCAAGAAGCCCCAAAATGATTTTAAAAAAGGGGGTCAGGGGACTGGAGCGATAGCACTGCGGTAGGGCGTTTGCCTTGCACGCAAGCCAACATGGCCTACACGGGTTCGATTCCCAGCATCCCATATGGTCCCCCGAGCACCGCCAGGAGTAATTCGTGAGTGCATAAGCCAGGAGTAACCCCTGAGCATCACCGGGCATGACCCAAAAAGCAAAAAAAAAAAAAAAAAGGGGGGGGGTTGGGGACTTAGTATGCAAAGATTTTAGTTGGCGGAAATGGACTGAAAGCAGCATTAAAAAATCAGAAATGCATAGAGAGAAAATCAATTTCCAAATACTAAATTTCTAGAAGACAAAAATCATCATCAATTAATGCTGAGCAGAGGTTAGCATACTTTAATTATTCTCAGAGAACAAAATGCACCACTAAAAGATTTATGAACACAGTATGATCAACTCCACAGTGTCTATTTTAGGCGAACAGAATACATTTTTATAGCAAATGATTTCTTCCAGGGTTTAGAACGAGTGACATTGCAATAAACACATGTATATATCAAAATATCAGCAATAATAACTTTAACACAAGAGTAAGGAACAGCACCAAGTTATTTCTCAGTGCTTATAAAAATAGCACAGAGAGTAAACACAATTTGCTCTTTGACTACGAGACAAGGTCATTTTCTTGAGTATGTAAGTAATCATCTTCTGAGAGCTAGAAATAAGGTTAACCCCTCAACTTATCGGCGGAGTGTTAGGTTATGAAACCATACCATTAAAGGAAGCTTGCCACTAAAAGCTGGTACAACAGCACATGAATAAGCAGGAAAGACGGGGCAGAAGGCAATCACTGCATTCAGATGTTCAGCAGAAAAAATAATGAAAATAAATACTGAGACTGGGATTTGTGATTAAATCCTAAATTTTGTTAGAAATTCAAAAATAAGAAAATATCATTTTCCCACCTGTCAAAATAATTACCATTTCCCGCTAGAAGCATCTAAGGATCCATAAGTGGGGGAACTAGCAACTGTCTGCAGGGACCTAGCGGGCATTATTGGTATTCTGGAGGCCGCATATCACGACGACAACTTGACAAAGCCTTGACACGAAAAGTACTTATATTTGCTGCCAATCAGTCACTCGGTGACATGTCAAGTGCACATCCTTTCAGGGACAGCTTCCATCAACATTAGCACTCAAAGTGTAGTGTACAGTGTCACTGCTTCGGAAAGGAGAGGAAAAATCAAATGGGAGAGGTGGCAGGGGAGGCAACAAGGCGTTCCTCTGTGCTAGGAGGCGGCACTCCAACGGGAAGCGGATAAAAATCACTGAGTGAATTGGAAAACCTGCTCGGTCGGTTTGCAGAGATTTCTTTGGGCGGGGGGGGGGGGGGGGGGGGGCAGGAAATATCCTCTTGCCCTACGTCCGAATATCTGAAGCATGGGAAAGGCTGGCATTCTGCAGAGAGTCATTCTGCAATGCATCTCAAATCTCTGGGTCTATGTGGTAAGTCAAGATCATTGTTAATTTGGTTTTGCTTCAGGGCCAGCCACCTGGTGATGATCAGAGGTTACTCTTGGCTCTGCACCCAGGAATTATTCCTAGCAGTGCTCGGGGGACCACAAGGGATGCCATGGACCAATCCCGGTCGACCGCATGTAAGGCAAGTGCCCTGCCCATTGTACTATCTCCAGCCCCTCACTGTTACTCTGGGAAGGGAGTGATGCCTGCATGTGTTTGAAGACACGAAAAGAATGTGGAACAATGAGCTTGAGGTCTCAGTCAAGCAGCCTGTGGTTCAAACTATTACTCATGGGCTTACAACCACTCTGGGCAAGTTATTTAACTTTCTACAATATGCAAATGTATAAAATATGTTCAAATAATCTACACAGCTTTACAGAATTCCTATACTCATGAGAGGATATAGCACTTGTATGAAAAGCACCTTTCGGGGACTCGTGCAAAAAAACCTACAAAATATACCTAGTTCCTCCTTTCTCCTGGTTCTGATACTTCTGACTTAGCAATAGCACCAAGATGCTTCCTTGGCCTCAGCTGAGAGAGCCCCCGGAAAGACTGTTTATTGTTCATCAGAAAGCTAGGAGACTGGTCAAGGATGCTGAGATCCCACTCAGGCTGTAAGAACTCTGATTGCATAAACCTGATTGGTCTAATCCTTCCACCAATGCTTGGTAGCTGCAACAGGAGACTGTGTTTGTAGCCTATTAAAAAATCTCATAAAAATATACTATGGGGGACTGGGGAGATAGAGGATATGCTTGATTTATGCATGCACTGAGTTATCTCTGGCGCGACATTCCCCCCTGCCCCCCACCCCGTTCCCCTAATTATCCTGGGCAGCCTGGTGAGCTCTTAACAGTGCATGGAGTGGCCCCTGAAATGCCCCCAGCTGCCATCAGGTAATACTGGGCCTGAGAACCCCATGGTCTGGCCTGCACTGCCAGACTAAGTATTGCTGGGAATGGGCGTGTGGATCCTGAGGATCAGAGGGGGTGACACTGAAAATAAAAAATAGATGTATATATGCAAGCATGTGCTTTTTGTATTTACTCACACACACACACACACACACACACACACACTTTGGAGGCATTATACATGCTTAAGCCTCAGTACGTCTCACAAGAAGTAGCAGATGAAGAGCAAAATTATCAAAAGTAGCTCTTCTACTCTGGCCATAGGCAGTTTCCATTATTATGACCTGATGAGCCAGAAAAGCTGGAGAATTTGGGCACATTTAGAAAAGCCAAAGTCTGATTTAAATTGCCTTTCACTAAAATAATTCTTGAAAACATTTTTCCTCAATAGGCCAGCCCCGTCTGTGAGCTGGAGTGGGGTGTGTGTGTGTGTGTGTGTGTGTGTGTGTGTGTGTGTGTGTGTGTGTGTGTGTGTTTGGTGACTCCATTCACATCCAGGATGCCTGCGTGGGGGAATGAAGAGTACATGGCCTTGTGTGGGTGCCCTTCAGGGGAGGGAGCAAAGATTGATGAAGTCCCCGAAAAACATGCTTCTCCTCTGAAGGTGGCCAATTTCTATTTTAGCCAAGTTCAATAGATAATGGAGTATCTAGTTTTTTTTTTCTTTTTCAATTGGCATCCCTGCCTTTTTTTTTTGCCCTTTATTATACGTGTTATTAAACTTAAGAGCCAAGAACTGCCAAAAGCCACAAAGCATCCATTCCCCCTGAGATTAAAGGAGGAAATGAAACATTTTTATTTTCATCTAAAATTGTGATTTAAGGACTCAAATTTCATACTGAACTAATCTACCTAAACATGTAGATTAGAAGCGATTTAGCAGCAACAGCATCAGAAAAGAAAGTTCTCATCGCCCTGGGTAGTTCACACTAATAATTAGAAGGAAAAAAGGAAAGCTGTGAATTACAATGAACTAAGACTAAATAAGTGTCCATGTTGGATGAAAGGATGTGAGTTGTCAGTTTGATGTATAATGAACGCGAAAATCAGCCATTTAATTAAATGGTACATGGTATAATCACTTTGTTCTGCATTAAACTATTTAAGCCATCAGAGTACCTTTAGTTTAGCAATTGTTTACTATTATACCACCCCATGACTTTGCTTAGACACTGTTTAGCCTACATTATTCCAAGTTTGGAACCTGGGGCCCATGCTAGGTTAGTTGATATATTTCATTGGTTCACTAGTGAATATAGAAAATGGGGAAACTGTTTTTGATCACAAATGAAATAAATTCTGAGATGTAGCTGATGAAAAATTAAGAGCGAAGACATAAAGGGCTGCACAAAGCAGGCATCTCCCTGGCCCCAGACAGTTCTATTTTAATGTAATAATTTAATAATATCAACAACAAATATATAAGTATTTTCGAATCATAGGTCCTAACTAAAAAATGCTCAAAAGAACTTTGAATAACTTGGAATCATTCCTGGACAATATGAGAACTGCATGGTCCCTGAAAGTAAAAGCAGGCCTGCTCAGAGGACCCATATGCTGGAAGGATGTCACATGACTATGTGGCAATTATGGGCCAGTCAACAAAAAGAACAAAGGACAGAAACTATAAGACAGTTGTAAAACCCCCAAAAGTCAATAGGAACTGAAGGAATTAAAAAAAAAATCACTCCGAGGAAATACGGGAATAGGGTCACTAGAAAGATGAAATGATCTAAATTCCAGGAGGCTCATACACTCACCGCTACTGCAATTCTTCCCAGGACATGCTCCGGAATTTTTCTATATACATCCAAAGATCCCCCTGTAGAAACAGACACGCTGTATTATGTATTCAAACTCCTCTGTACTATGGATTCAAACGACTGAATCAGTGCACTGGGTTCCTCTCTCAGGTATTCAATATGCTAATATATTTTTTCCTCCTCAATCATGCATGTGGTTTATAATTCAAATAGGTTTTTAGTCCGATTTTTTTTTATGATCTAACTGTACTTTCAGGTGAAACATAACTAGGTATTTCCCTTTTATTTCCCAGTGTACAGTCACATGCATGTACAAACTGTAGAAAAACAAGTTAAACGCAGGCTAAAAGGTATGCACTTGGTATAATCCTAAATACGTGCATTTAGTGTAACCCTAAATATACAAATATTAAATATGTATTTAATGCAACTCCAAATAGGGTGAATTAAATGTAATCCTAAATTGTGTGCAAATGTGACTGTCTTACACCATACAATAATTTTCTTGATTATAAACCAGGACTCCCTCTTAGAACTTTTGCAGTAACCAAATAAAAAAACAACAAATATAAGATACAAACTACACATGAAAACTAATCCTGTAAAATAGCAATGCTGACATCTCAGGAATTGGAAGTTATGCTTCAAGATACGGTAATCAACCAAGAAAAGTCAGACGTATAATCTAAAAATCTCAAAACGTTCTTAAAGAAATTATCTATAGAGTTACTTTGAAAAATCACTTTGTGAGTTAAAGAAGAGGAACAATCTTTTATACCGTCACAGTTTTTCCTTACACAACCTCTACTTACCTCCTCCACCTCCTCTACACTCAGATTTGGCAGTCTGAGAAAACCTGAACTGTTCGGGTATGAACGTAACAAGGCTGGGCCACATCTATTTTTGTTCAACGATCAGCCTGGACAGTATCTCAACTAGTAGATAGTAGATGCTCAATAAACAGATATTAAATTATTACATAAATGAATGAGAAATTGTCGTGGATTTCACGCAGTAGCAACAGTCAGAAGTCACCGTGACATGCTGCAATAGTGCCACTAAAATAACTGCAGAACTTTGCTGGTGACTATTTTGAAGGAATCAAAAGTATAAAAAGAAGTGTACGCTTGTGAAATTTTATAAGTGGTTTAAAAATTTCAGGAAACTAAACAGAAAATTACTATTCACCATATAGGAGCAATTTGAACCACACATAATAAGCTTTCAGTAAAACAGGTATACAGTCATTCTGATTTATAGAAATTATTTCTGTTTATATCAGAGGTTAACATTCCTATGTATGACTTTACTACTGGATGATTTGTAAGTATTCGTCACATGATATTAATACAGAACAAGTCATTCTTTTGAAATGTAGTCAAGTCTATTTTATAAATATGATTATTTTATGTCAAGCTTTCTTATGCTGAACATAGGTATTTTCCCCATATGTATATACATATTTGTAGAAATGGCTTTTCCAAATACTACTTTGTATTTACCCTGCTTAAAGCAGGAAAACGTCACTTCTTTAAGGCAACTTCCACTTCTATCTTCCCTTTCTGACAAGATGCTGGTAAACCACAGTGCAACTCGTGCAACTCACTCTTCTACTTTGTCCCTGAGTGCTACCAGGAAGATGAGAAAAAAAAAAAAGATCCTTACTTACTAAAATGGCATTTTTATTATAGATGCAATAAAATTGAAAATATGGTAAAAAAAAAACATTTTATGTTCTCATTGATCTTTCAGACGAATTGCCAGCTGCAAGAACAAACATACTCAAGAATATCAAGCTTCACCTGCTGGTATTTGGAATACTGAAAAATGAAGTTTTATAGTCAGTCCTTAACGGAAGTGAATCGCTTGCCTGGTTCAAAACCAGAAGGTGCAAATGCATTCAGATATACAGTAAGAAGTCCTCAGAGGAGATTTGTTTTTACATGGGATATAAATCAGGGCCTAATTAGCTAAATGGACAATAGTTTCAATGAGCTTAAATAAAAAGCCAAAGATTATGATGCGACCATTATCAGCAGCACAAGCCAAAAGAGAATACTCCCGGAGAGAGTCCACTGGGTCAGAGAATCTCCACCTCACATCGTCATGTCCTGATGTCCTGTGCCATCCTTGCTGGCTCTGTGTCACCACAAATTCACTCTGTCCTTGAAACACTCACTAGAGATAACTACTGGAGAGAATCAGGCAGATCCACTCAAAATCAAGAATCTGTATTAAGTTTGTTGAGTTTTAAGAAACTGGGGCAAAATGGCAAAGGATTTTGGTTTGATTTTCAGCTTTGCTATCATTTCCATTCTACCAGCTTCCCAAAAGATAGTTACTAGACTTATAAATAATCAACTCTTAATGCTAATATTTATAAGATAAGATTTATAAGGGCTGGAGCGATAGAACAGCGGTAGGGCGTTCGCCTTACAAGCGGCCAATATGGCCGACCCGAGTTCGATTCCTCCGCCCCTCTCGGAGAGCCCGGCAAGCTACCGAGAGTATTCGATATGCCAGACACAGTAACAACAAAGTCTCCAATGGAGACGTTACTGGGCCCGCTCGAGCAAATCGACGATCAACAGGAGGGCCTTTACTTTTACCTATAAGATATTATGAAATATGTTAAGATCAGTGCAACAACCTTATCTGACAGACAGAGAAACTGAGTCCCAGGGAGATGAGTGCATTAGCCAAAGTGATAAATCTGACTGAAGGGTCTGAAAACTGGAACCTCTGAATTATTTGAATGGCAAAGATTTAAAATATTTCCTCATAATATCACACATCTTGAGAGTCATATGTAAACATTTTATAGCATATGTCTGTTTTACCAATACTGCAATGCGATGTCACTCACACATAACACTCGAGGGATACTGTAGTCTTTGCCACCTGTTAAAAGCATTTAGAAAACCATTTGTCTATGATTTGAACTTCTTTTGCTCATGATTTTGAGGTCATTCATTTGCTGTATAGTTTCTTCCTGATATCCCAAGGTCTCAGATCATCTTTAGGTCAGTCATTTTGTTTGGTTGTTTTCTATTTTGGGGGCCATTCCCGGTGGTGCTCAGGACTTACTTCTAGCTTTGCACTCAGGGATCACTCTTGGTGGCCTTCAGGGGAGCACGTGGGACCCGCCAGCCTCATGCAAAGCAAGCGCCTTTCCCACTTTACTATCGTTCCAACCCCTAGGCCAATTATTTTATTGCAAGCCACTAGCCACTAGAGGTATCAGAAGGAAGAGCGCTGATCTGGAAAATTTCTCCACTGCCTAATAACTAAATGTTTCTACTGGTGAATCAGGGCTATAACTTTCATGTAAGTAAATAAAAAGAACTTGGTATTTCCCACTTGACACCAACCCCTCTAACTAGCAGGAAGTGTCTTTGCTATTTTCTCTCTTTCTAAGTACTTTACCTCATACCACCCTCTCCCAAACTAAAAAGAAGGAAAAAATACCTGACAGGGCAAGGTCTATATTTAGACTCCTAATACAGGCTAAAACATAAGGCAGCATTTTACAGAAGATAAATATAAATACGTAGTAAATGAATAAGCCATATTACTGATATATTCATCCAGTATTTTCTTTCCCTTGACCAGGATAATTATTGAAACTGATAAACTGTAAGTGGAATCATAACTGAAATTTTCAGAAGCGCTCTTAGTTTTGCTAAAACCAGAGTCCTTTCTTTGTAACATGGGTTTTTGTTTTTCAGTTTTTGGCCCACACCCAGTGATGCTCAGGGGTCACTCCTGGTTCTGCACTCAGGAATCACTCCTGGTGGGCTCGGGGAACCATATGGGATGCCAGGTATCAAACCTGGGTTGGCTGCATGCAAGGGAAGTACTATTACTTGCTGTAAGATTGCTCAAGCCCCCTGTAACACTTTCTGAGAGATGTCTTATTCTCATGTTGGTGATGCATTTACATTTGTATGCTGAAAGGTCTGAGTGTTTCTGGGTGGATTCAGCTTAACTCAGTGAGAAGGCATATTGCACCACTCTCTCAGAAATCTCGTGACATATTAAAAAAATTCAGACAAAACCCACACACCTTATCAAAACTTCGAAGACCTACACAGTCTAGTTCTGCTGACTTCCCTTCCCTGCTTGCTGTCCAAATCCTGGTCATCCCCTCATCCCTCATCACCCTCCATGTAGAGGGGTCTGATCATACTAAGCTTGCCCCCACTTCGAGCACTTACAAGCCCACTGATGTCAGTTCCCGCTAAAATAAAACTTCCATGAAAGGCAGCTCTGATTAGCCCATCAACTGCCTCCTCTGTGAGCCAGTTTCTTTTGTTCTAATAGGTCTTCTCTTCTGCTCTTCTCTTCGTCTCTCAGAAAATATACAGTGTGTTTCTTATCTGTCTTTCTTTCTAGAATTTTAGTCCTAAGATGACAGGAACTAGTAAGTATTGTTCATTTTTCATTCCTGGTTTAGAACATTGTCTGAGTGAACGTTCTCAATAAATAGTGGGAAGTAAGTAACTAATATCTGATTAAAATACATAATGATGGGCCAAAAGGACAATACAGGGTAAGAAGCTTGCCTTGCCTAAGATCTGTCCAAGCACAGAGACTAAATAAAGAAACTATGGTATACAATGTATATATAAATACATTGCCTTGGGGCCACACCTGGCTATGCTCAGGGAAGATTCCTGGCTCTGTGCTCAGGAAACACTCCTGGCTCAGGGAGCCATATACAGTGTTCGGGATTGAACCCCAGGAAATGTTGAACAAATACACACATTATGTAAGCATATATATGTGTATATATATGTCTATATATAATGATATATAATCTACATAAAGGAATAGTCCTGGGGTTGGGAGGAAGCTGTCAAACAGGTTTAACCGTAATGAAAGCAGGGAGAAAAGAAAAGACAGACGATACTATGTAGTTTGGGGCCCGTGTAATTTTTAAAAACTTAAATCCTCAATTGTACTTTTTCACCACATTCTAAGACACTGTCACCTTATATGTCTGAATGTATTATCTTAGCCTGACAAAATTCTAGACTCTAGGCTTTTCACCCATGTGCCTACTTTCTGTTTTGCTCAGAAAGGTGTCTGACTGTTGCTAACTCCTTGCCCACGGAGGAAGCCCATGACTGTGCATTCAGAGCAGTGTCAGGCTATAGCTGTGGTCTGGGCCCATGGAATTTGCAGATCTATTTTGCCTTATCCCATAGAGACACAAGATCTGAGAGTGGTGACTGGTAGTGCCCACTCCACCGAGTGGACAGAAGATGCCATTTTTAGAGGAAATGATCATAACAGGGAAACTGAGACAGAAAGCAGGTGCCAGAAACTAAAAGGCGAGAGCAACAAGTGAATGGCTGCTAACGGCAGAAGGTTTGCTTCTCAGGAGATAAAAATGTACTTAAATCAGTGATGCTTGTGTGCAAACTCACTGATACATTAAAAGCCACTGAATTATATACATAAAAAGGGTTAATCTTATGGTATCGACTATTTCATCTTGATGATATTTATTTAGGTCTCTTAAATTATTTGGCAGTTTCTGGCAGTGTGGTTGGTGGTCGTTCCATGCCAAGGCCCCAAGACACTGCTCCGGTCCTGAGATGCCAAAGATTACCTGGGCCACCCCAGAAGTGTGCTGGGTCACAGACCCAGCAGTGCTCAATGCTTGGGGACTCTGGGCTGATGCTCAGGGACCATGTGCCACCAGGGAAATGAGCCAGGGGTGGCCGTCTGAAGGCATGATCCTTAATTCCTGTACTTGCTCTCTGGCCCCTGAAATATTTTAGGACTTCCAAAGAGAATTATGAAAAGTCACATAATAATAACACAAAAGTGGATCCTTAATATAATTTTCTTAGTCCCCTTGAAAAGTAATTGTCATGTTACTCATATGGTTGTTAAAAGTTTTAATTTTTTTTTTTTTTTTGCTTTTCGAGTCACACCCAGTGATGCTCAGGTGTTACTCCTGGCTCATGCACTCAGGAATTACTTCTGGTGGTGCTCAGGACCATATGTGATGCTGGGAATCAAACCTGGGTCGGCCACAGGCAAGGCAAATGCCTTACCCTCTGTGCTATTGCTCCAGCCCCAAGAGTTTTAATTCTTGATATCTGCCATAACTAATTTAGAACACAGTACACATTGTATACCTTATATCATCATTGTTGGTCATTAAAAAATTTTGCAGAATATGGATTAATTGCATAGTTATATGCTGGATCCTTCAAAATGAAACTATGTATATTAAAAATATTGTGTTTTAATGCACTAATTACTGAAAAAATGAATAAATAAAAATTTAAAGACTGTTTTGATTTAAAATGGGTAAATAATAATAATGATGATATCATTTCACAGATAGTGTACCAAGGAATCTACATTTGTTGTAAAATTAAGATCAAGAAAAGCTGCCAAAATAGAAATGGAGAAAAAAACAAAGGGAAGAAACAGTTCGGTCAGAGGGATAGAAAGCACACCCCGACCTAACAGCTGTGTTGGAAAACAATTTCCAATGTTGCAATTAAGAACTGATTTCTTTCTAAAAGACACAGGACATTGGGTTAATAGTTTTCTTTAAAAGAAAATCTGTTTTGGCTATTGAAACATTAAAAGAGCAGAACATCTGTTTTGCTTCTAAAGACAGATTGTAGACAGAATCAAATATCAAACCACTGATGAGACTAGCATTTAATCTGTCCTATTTAAATTTTCAACAAAAGTAAATAAAATTATATTTTTAAAACTACACATTAACTGTAACTACTTAACACTGAAATCCAAATGCTAGTTCCAAAATGCTTTATCAAATAAAGAAAATAATTATTAGTTTATTTCAATTACTCTAATTCTATTTGGCATCAAAACCAGATTTTGAAGCACTATATACCCTCAAGTAATTTTTAAAGTATTATAAAAGGGCAAACTCACCATCCATGAATTCCGTACATATTGAAATTCTGTTTTCTACAAAAAATGCACCATAAAACCCTATGATATATGATGAATCACACTGTAACAAAAATAGGACAAAAGTAGTTAAAAATCTGCAGGTCAGTTACACAGGCATGCTTTAGAAAGAAAAAGACCAAGAAAAATTACCTTATAAAGAATTTCCAATTCAGACATAATTTGCTTCTGAAGTTCCAGTGTAATATCTAGGAGTATGACCTGCGTATCGAAAGGAATCAACAGTCACGTATTCATGCAATTTTAAATAGAGTCAGCTTGATTATGAAATTAATACACTAGAAACTATGGTGGCTTTAAAAAAAAACCTACTTCCCCCTTTTCTCCTCCCTGCCATTTATAATTCCAGAAATACAAACAGTCTCCACATCCCTCTGACCCTCTGTATTGGGGGAGGTGGTACAGAAGTGATTGATGGGACCAAGGAAACAGCCAGGTCTCAGAGGTCACTATTAATGGCCTTAAAATCAGTTAAGGTATAACACCCTTAATTTATACACCCTATTTGGCCACAGTGGTTATTTTCCAAAGAAGAAGACAGAAATAACCCTGAAACGATTAAAAAAAAAAAGAATCGGAATTCAGATATTATGTGATAAGCAGAGAGGATGAAGACTAAGAGTGCTATCTAAGGGTTTTGTTATAAAACAGAAAAAGATTTTTTAAAAATCTTTTAAAAATGGAGTCATGATTCTTTGCTAGTACTGTCATAAAACGCTAGAGCTTCAAAGTACCTATGAAAAAAACAGGCTTTGAGGGGGTTGGTGCTCAGGACTGACTCCTGGCTCTGAGCTCAAGGATCATTCCTGGAGGGCTTGGGTGATGCCGGGGTTCAAGAGGATACAAGGCAAGAGCCCTACTTGCTGCACTATGATTCCAACGCCAGGTACCTCTGAAATTTTTTCATCCAATCCTCATTTTCAGGGATTTTTAAGAATGAAAATCATCAACTGCTCAAGTTTTACTTTACTCCTAAACACACATTTTATACTATTGACATCCAGGAGCGATAGCACAGCGGTAGGGCATTTGCCTTGCACGCAGCCAACATGGCCGACCCGAGTTCGATTCCTCCGCCCCTCTCGGAGAGCCCCGCAAGCTACCGAGAGTATTCGATATGCCAGACACAGTAACAACAAAGTCTCCAATGGAGACGTTACTGGGCCCGCTCGAGCAAATCAATGATCAACAGGAGGACAGTGACAGGACAGCGACAGTGATATCCAGGTGCAGGGGAGGTAGGAGGGAAAAGGCACACCCATTTTCTACTGAGTTTGCTTTAGGGCCATTGAGAAAGTTTTTCACAAAAATTATACACTTTAGCAAGTATAATATGAGACATTTAAATATTTCTTCCAATAATCATTTCCCAAGAATATCCACTTACATTTCTGTATCTTTATGAAACTTAGCAACAAAATTAATTTATCCAGTGTCCTTCCAATTCTAGACCATAAAATATTCGAACTATTAACACCCCTACTCAGATACCAAGTACCAGGATTCTAATCTTCAACTACTCCTCCACTAAAAGGAAGTTATTATCTGCCTTAGAACAGTGCTTCTCAACCGGAGCCTTTCACCGTAGCTTACCTTAAACTTATTCACTTAAAATTAAATTAGAACACTTTAAACTCCAGAATAAGATAACTCTCTGGGGCTGGGCCCACATCTTACTAGTGAGAAAAAAAACAAAACCGAAACAATTCTCCACTTGATTTCTCACAGGAAGGTTGAGAATCACTTTTCTGAAGTTGCTATTTTACCAACTTGATTTATTCCGTGTTAGACTGGACCCCTGAAAGGTCCTGCACCTCTGTCCCCCCCCCCCCCCCCACAATTAGAAAAGACATGATGGATGCCACTTAGCAAGTCAACACCTTGGAATCAGTCTCCCACGACTGACCAAAATACATTCTCTTGATCATCCCCCAGCACTACACTAAGATTTGCACGACTGTCCAGGAATTTGTCCTCTGTCTAGTTCTAGGTGGTGAGTCAGCTCCTCTGCCTACGATTCCCCACCGCAAACCTGAACCCCAGGGAAATCTGTTGTTCCTGCTGCTCCTGTACACCCCATGTCCACGGTCCCCCCTCTAAATAAAAAAGCTGCTTGGAGATGGAAAGGAAATGGACCAATCTACTTCAAAAACAGAATTTAAAACCAGAGGATATAAACACCATAATAAATAAAAGTGCCACAGTGACCTAAAATGTAGCGAGTGATTCCATAGTGTAGAACCAATTCACTTACAATGAATAAATCTTGATCACTCCTGGGTTTTTGTTAAACTCCAGAAGAGTAGAGAGTTCCTAATGGCAGGAAAGTGAGTCATTTCTGAGAACTTGAGAGGGAAAGTAAAAATCTCCCTGAAAACAAGTCGATCGAAATTTTCTTCTCTTTCCTGAGAAACTTGGCACTCTAGGTGGAAGGTTAATTTCCCTTCCCCTGGGCACGCCTGTGAGTGAGCTTGAAAAGGGCTTTAAACAAAAAATAAACAAAAAGCAAGTTCCATTCCTTACTTGAAAGCAACAGGGAAAAGTGTGGCCAACAGTAATTTTCTGTTTCAAGTGCAAGGTAAGGATGTGCTCCCCGAGACTCCATCTAGTATTTATTTGTTTCCCTGGGAGGGAGACAGTGTGCAAACCAGAGAGAATTTGACCGTGAAGTATTTTATGGCGAAGGGGTTAAGTGAGGAACAGAAATACCTGAGTGCCTTTCCACTGCTCTCTATACACCTCCAGGACAAATAAGGATGAGTTGTCAAGTTAAATATAAGCAGTCAAGTGACTGAATTATAATTTACTCTGTGCTCAATTTAAATTAGTGTGAGGCTATTAAAATATACAGTATAAATACGGCAATTCATCACAAGCTGTCATGGATGGCTTCATTTATCTGCTGGAGTGGCACACGCTCCACTAAAGGCAAGGGGAGCAGAATCACAGGTCAAATTAAGCCGCTGTTCTATTTTAATTCGCTTATTTAATCTGTGGCGACATAATTGTCTTTTACAGTATGTACAACTCACAACGGAAATTTGGGAGGATTACAGTCAGTATACAGATGATTAATCAAACGGTCCATTTAAATGCTAGTTTAAAAAGCAGCAGAGACCCAAAGCCGGCAACAAATGATAATCAGCACACACGATCGACAAGGAGCTGCCTGTTGAGTTTCCCTTAATCAGAAAACAATCCCATGAAAGATTTCAGAGAATACATTAATGACCTCAAAACGTTCTGTTGGCAGGATGGCTCTTTGGTGCTTTCCTGCTTGACTTGTTCGTGACTGTCTTGCTTTTCTAGACCCCCAACTCTCCCAATCACATTTGCGTTTGATATATTGAATCATTATCAAATGTATGTTAACACACCATCATTATCAACAGTTATCTTTACAATATGATCAGTAGGTAAAGGGATATATACATGGTAACCTTTTAATATCTGTATTGCAAACCATAATGACCCAAAAGGAGGGGGTGGGGGGTAGAGAGAGAGAGAGACAGAGACAGAGACAGAAAGAGACAGAGACAGAAAGAGACAGAGACAGAAAGAGACAGAGACAGAGAGACAGAGAAACAGAGACAGAGAGAAGAAAAGTGCCTGCCATAGAGGCAGGTGGGGTGAGGGAATGGGAACATTGCTGGTGGGAAGTGTACACTGATGAATGAACAGGTGTTGGAACACTGTATGACCGAAACCCAATCATGAGCAACTTTGTAACTGTGTATCTCAAGGTGATTCAATTAAAAAATAAATTAAGATATTCAAAAATTTTAAAAGGCAAAAAAGAAATTAGATAACTTAGAAAAATAAGCTGGAGCGATAGCACAGCGGGTAGGGCGTTTGCCTGGCAAGCAGCCAACATGGCCGACCCGAGTTCGATTCCTCCGCCCCTCTCGGAGAGCCCGGCAAGCTACCGAGAGTATTCGATATGCCAGACACAGTAACAACAAAGTCTCCAATGGAGACGTTACTGGGCCCGCTCGAGCAAATCGATGATCAATGGGAGGGCCTTTACCTTTACCTTTAGAAAAATAAGCAAAGTATGATCAGTGGGTTGAAGTGACAGGACAGCAGGGAGAGCACTTGCCTTGCACGTGGCAAACCTGGGATCAATCCCCGACACCCCATATGGTCTAGGAGTGATCACTGAGCACAGAGCCAGGAGTAAGCTTTGAGCACTGATGGGTGTGGCCCCCAAACCAAAAAGTAAATAAAATTCAATAGGATTGGCATCATTTTCTAAATATTCTAAGACAGAAATATTTTTTAATTTAATAGTATAAGATATTTAACTCAACCTGCCTTTAAAAATATCTAAAGTAGTGTTTGCCCCCTTTGGCAATCTGAAAAGAGATTATAATATGCTTCTCTTGCTGAAAAAATGAGAACAGTTTTGAAGCATAAAAATCAGAAATATTTTGAATAGGAAGAACAAAATCAATCGTTCTTCAAGTGCTCCAATCGAATTGTCCCCACAGATCTTCAAAGTGTTGGTCCAAGTGACCACTTGACTCGGGAAATTACATTTCCCTCATGGTCCTGCATAAGCATCAGAGCCCTGCAGGTAACCATATTTAGACCAGGATTGTGATTTGCTGCTCTCTCAAATCCCTCTGCGACACCAGGCAGTCTGTCGCACAGCTGAGGTCACGGAGGTTCAAGCGACATGCTTGAAGTCACACAAAAGTCACAAGGGGGTCAGGAAAAGATCAAATGCGCCTCTAACTCTTAACCTTTCATTTCACCCTTTTCTATATGAAAAAAAAAAGGCAAAGAAACACTCTGGGTGTATGCGATGGCCCATACAAAGAACAGTATGGGAAATTTTGCATGTGAACTGACCCTTCTGAAGCATTTACTCCAAAAGAGTGAATGAACGAAAGAACAAATGACAAAATGGACTTAGTAAGTCTGCCATTCATCGAATTATGTGCTGAGCATCTAGTCATTGCATGTGGCTTCCATAAAGTCCTCTCAGCAAGGTTCTGCATAAATCAATGAGACATGAAGATAAATAACATCTATTCTCCATCCCGAAGAGATTTCAATAGGAGAGGGAAAACGCACACCTATAACCAAACGGAAAATATAAGGGCATTGTGTATTAACATCCAGAAAAGACACATACTGGAGCTGGAGACATTGTACAGAGGCCGGGCTGGGGGTTGGGGTTGCTTGCTTTGCATGTA